GCTATCAATCTAATACCACACTATAGCCAAAAAATGGCTACAGCACGGTTCTTTCACCCCCTGGGGCGCGCATCGGACGTGCTCTGTGACTGTTGTGTTTTTTGGATACAGCTGATCACAGATCACGGTAAAGGGAAAATCACAGTGGCCCTTTACCATGTGATCAGCTGTGTCCAATCACAGCTGATCACATTAAACAGACTTGCTGGTTATCAGCTTTTCCTTTCCTCAGTGCTGTCACTGTGTGAGGAAAGGAAAGCCGATAATGGACAATCCTGAGAGTGCTTTGTATACACTAATAATCAGGGCACTGATTATCAGTGCAGCCTCAGCAGTGCCCATCAGTGCAACTTATCAGTGCCACCTATCAATTCCCATCAGTGCAGCCTATCAGTATCACCTATCAGTCCCATCAGTGCAACTTATCAGTGTTGCCTCATCAGTGCCCATCAGTGCAGCCTCAACAGCGCCCATCAGTGAATAAGAAAAATGCGACCTTTCCAGAAGAGCATTCTTCAACAGTGGAATCCAGGCAACATGGGCCAGATCATTTACATATCTCTGTCCATGAAGGAGAGCCTTCTTTGGTGGCTACGGCAGAAGAATCTGCTCAATTGCCACTCTGTTGCCCCCATCTCCAGGATCACAATGCATGCCAGCAACTCCGGTTGGGGCACTCTCTGCCAGTCAAAGATAGCTCAGGGCAGATGGAGCTTTCCCTCCTACAGGTTGGGGTCGAATGTTCTGGAATTACGAGCAGCGCTCTGTGCCCTACAGGCCTTCCAGAACCTAACACGGGAAATCAGTCCTCCTGAGGTCCGATAATACAATGGCAGTGTCCTATAAAAGGAGACAAGGAGGGACCCACAGCCTGTCCCTGTTGCGAGAGTTAGAGCCAATCATGGCTTGGAGAAACCTGTCCAACATATCAGCAGTATATGTCCAGAACTTGCAAGCAGACTTCATGTCCAGGTTCAATTAGACAAAAATGAGTGGTCTCTCGACATGGAAGTGTTCAAGTGGGTACTGACCCTTGGGATCAGTCCGGAAGTCGACCTGTTTGCCTCCCCATGCAACAGCAAACTGGAGATCTACTACACCAGGAATCGCTGTCCCCAGGCCTTCGGGGTGGATGGTCTGACAGATCAGTGGAGGTTTTGCACAGCTTATACGTTTCCCTGGTCCCTGTAATTTTCATATTTCTTCAGAGGCTCAGAGCAGAAGCAGTGGAGGTAGTGGCCATAATTCTGGCCAAGCAGACCATGGTTTTCCTTATTGGCGCAGCTCAGCTTTCAGGATCTGGTTCCTCTCCCTCTCAAGCCAGACCTGCTGTCACAGGGGGCCATTCTTCCCCCTTGCCCAGCCTAGCTTCATCTAATGGTCTGGTTCTTGAGAGAGGAAGATTGGAGGCCTTAGGCTGTCCTGCTGAAGTCATCCCTACCCTGATGAATCCCAGAAGGCCAAGTACCAACAGGGTCTATAGAAGAGTCTGGTCTAAGTTCATGGACTATATCTCAACAGTGGGAGGATCCTTTAGTAATTTGAGGGTTCAGGATGTCCTGGGATTCCTACAGTCAGGCCTGGACCTGCCTCTGTCAGTCAGCACCCTCAGGTTTTAAGTGGCAGCCATTTCCTCACCAGAGGACTCTCTGATTGCAATTTTCCTAGCTGGTGTGCTGGTGCTAGCTTTCTATTCCCTGGCTCAGAGTCTGACATTTCCAACTCTACCCGCTATACCCATGATTGGTGTTGGATTTCATATACTGTATTTGTTGTTTCCATTCTCAAATCCAAGAAGTCAGAGTGGGTTCAAGTTCCTCTGTTGGCACTTTGGCCTATAGGTTTGTGAACCCCACAAGAATATTACATAATAGAGTGAGTGCCCTGTCAAGGAATGTACTATATGGTTGTATTTCCAGATCACTTCCACTAAGAAATTGGTCCATTTCCTTCATTTCTCACCAACTAAGGATCTCAGAAATTGTATCAGGGTGCTACTGAGCCACTCTCATGTGTCATTGCCTTTTGGGTGTTACAGGATAGTGTGTGACTTCTTAATGCCTAGTGAGTGGCACTATTTGGGAAGAATTCACTTTAGAAACAGGGTCCCTAGTTGACTGTATCTTCTGCACACAGCCATAAGGCAGAAGTGCTTTGCACACCACCTGGGTGGTGATCTTGATAGTCTGGTTGCAGGTCAGCGGTCCACCATGACATGTTGAGTGGAAGTAAGTCAAATAGACTGTGCACTTTGCACGTACAGTTGAACTTTGCAAATGCAGTTGCTCCAGAGTTTAGAAAATTAGGTGAAGCTTCACTTTGCAAAGTATAGATAATCACATGCAGGGAAAATGAAAAAAAAAACAAACAGCATTTTTGCTTGAACGTGATTGGAAGATGGAAGGCAGCATAGCTCCCCCTCATTTACCATGCTCACCTCCTAGTGGGGCAGTCATGAGGACCACAACCTGATACTAACACAGCAAACCCATCTCCACTATCTGGACTTCTGGTGAATACCAGTTAGTGATTAGACCCTGTGCCTCATATGAGCCTTTGCACAAGCAGGTCACCCTGGTGGAAGACACTTATCCTGCTGGTTGGTGGGACACTCTCTACTGCTTTAGCTACTGGTCTCTGAGCCTAACCCAGGACTCTAATGAAATGTTTGGGAAGGTCACATGTGGACCTGAAAAGCACCAGTTTGATACTTCTCATCTAAGGGGATCTTTGGAGGAAAGTATAGGGAAACGAGACATTGGATGCGGTGTTAAAAAACAATTCTATTCTTACCCTCAGCCATGCTGAGGGTAGGAATAGAACCCCAGAGAGGTTTAGGATTAAACCTTGTTCTCATTTCACCATAAATGTATTTTTTTTCTGAAATTTAGAATACCACCATAAGTATTTTAGGTTCATGTTTTATATGTATATAAACAATTATATCTATCATGTGGGAACATTGCGTTACACTTGTACAGTTATAAAAAGCATTGCAGGCTTGTTAAAGAAATAATATGTACTGTATGGAAATTGTAGGTCTGTGCTGGAAAAATAGAAGTCTATTTACAGGCAGTAGATGTGGTGTGTGGGTTGTGAACTTGGTGCCTCGGGGAGGACTGGAGTTGTATCTATGACCCAGTTACAGATAAATGTTTATTAGCAAAAGTTGTCCTGGCCGAAAAAAATAAATCACATTTAATGGGCTATTTACAAAATAAAGGAAAATTCAAACAATAATGCTGTTATTACCCATAGTGATATGATTACTTTTTTCAATAAAAAGATGAAACATGATAGATATCTATCGGCAGCAAGTAAACCATCCCATTTTCCTTTAATAAGCATTCTGAAACTGGATTCTATTTTTTACATCACGATTCACGATGTAAAGATAATGAAAGTAAAATTCAGCCTATTATTTTTATTTCTTGAGGATGCTTTACTAAAGTAAATGTTCACTTTCCTTAGAAAAAAGCTGAAGCTGTGTTTGCCGATTACCCAATCATGTGTAGGTGAAATTAAATAAATGTGACATTTTTGGGGGGCGATTGGAGTGAATACAGCCTTACCTTATTCACTCAGTAAAATCAGTCTGTATATACAGTAAAGCATGCTTGTTATACTCACTGTGGAACTTAAGCGGTTAATCCTCTGCATTTTGTAAAAAGGCTGTTTGATCTTTTCTTCTCTGCTCCTCCCCTTTGCCAAGCAACCACCACTTATCTCCAGACTGAACTGTAGGCATGCACATGCTCAGTTTTGTGTGTAATGCTAGAGAGGGTTTTTTTTTTTTCTTTTTCTTGGGAGAGTGCATGTGATCAGCATAGGGTCAATCAACACTGTCCAGACAAAGTCAGAGGATTTGCATCCTCCTACAGCAGAAAGAAAACTCCTACAATATACACCAAACTGAGCATATGCAGAGTGTTTCCACACGATATGTCTTATCAGGAGATAAGAGGGGGACACTGGAAGAAGGGGAGGATCAGAAAAGACAGGATCAAACAACGTTTTTACAAGCTGCAGAGGATTAACCCATTAGGTTCCGCAGTGAGTATAACAAGCATGCTTTACTGCATATACAGACTGATAATACTGTTGTGTGTTTAGTAACACTTCATTTCATAAAAGACGGGGAGGATCAGAGAAGAGATGATCAAACAGCATTTTTACACAATGCAGAGGATTAACCCCTTAGGTTCCACAGTGAGTATAACAAGCACGCTTTACTGCACACAGGCTGATTTTACTGTTGTGGGTTTAGTAACACTAACTTTTCTTAAGAGCCTCTATTGCTTTAGTAAATATTTTTTTAAATACCTTTGGAGGCCTTTTTTACTTAATGACTTAAAGTTGTTATAAAGCCTCAAGGTTTTATACCTTCATGCATTCAACGCATGAAATTAAAAAATCTTCTGTGTGCAGCAGTCTCCCCAGCCCCCCAATACTTACCCAGTATCCAGCATTGGCTCCCGCTGCTGTCATTCACAGCCTGTGATCCGATGAGGAAGACAGGGGATGGTGCCGAGCCATAGCTGTGTGTAAATGGACATGCAGAGCAGTGGCTCAGGAGAGGGACTGCTTGGGTGCCCCCATAGCAAGCTGCTTGCTCTGGGGGCACTCAGCAGAGTGGAGCCAGAAGCACTGATGGAGGACCCAAGAAAAAGAGGAGAGGGACTACTCTGTGCTAAACCACTGCACAGAGCAGGTAAGTATAGCATGTTTGTTATTTTAACCACTTTCCCTCTGCCCTATAGCAGAAATACTGCTACAGGGTGGCAGGTGTGTGCAAACTCACGTATATATATACATGATTTAACAGTTCGGGGTTACAGCCCTACCTGAGCTGCCATTTGCAGCCTCGGCTGTCAATCACCAGGTTACCAGTATATGTAAACAATACAGTTCTCTCCGCTGTCAGCTCCTGCACACTGCTTTGTATGGCTGCATAGCAGAGACATACAAAGCAGTGTGCTTACAGTGGAAAGCGCACACACACAGCACACAGTTAACCCATTGATCTCCCCACATGTTAACCCTTTCCTGCCCAGTGCCATTAGTACACTGTCAGTGCTTTCTATTAGCACTGATCACTGTATTGGTGTCACTGGGGATGTCAGTGACAGTCGGTTCCCACCCAGTGTCAGAATGCCCACCACAGTCCCACTATAAGTCGCTGATCACTGCCATTACTTGTTAAAAAAAAAAAAACAATTCCAGTAAATTATCCCACCATTTGTAAAGGCTATAACTTTCACGTAAACCAATTAATTTACACGTATTGGGATTTTTTTTTAGCAGACATGTCGCAGAATACATTTTGGCCTAAATTTATGACAAAATTCGATTTTGTACATTTTTTTACCGGACATGTTTAATAGCAAAAAGTCAAAAATATTATTTTTTTCTCAAAATTGTCGGTCATTTTTTATAGCACAAAAAGTTAAAAACCACACAGGCGATCAAATACCACAAAAGAAAGCTCAATTCGTGGGGGAAAAAAAGATGTAAATTTCATTTGGGTGCAGTGTTGCATGACCGCGCAATTGTCAGTTAAAGTAATGCAGCACTGTAACGCAAAGAATGGCCTGGTCAGGAAGGGGGGGGGGGGGGTAAATCCTCTGGAGGTCAACTAAAAATGCCTTTAATATCACTTTAATATCAAGTCTGCTGTCCATGTCTCAACATTGTCAGTGCAGGCAGAGGGGGGCCGAAATCCAAGGCTGCAGATAAGCTGGCAGCCAATAGGAGTTGTCCATGTCATGCAGACAGTGACTTGGACACCTGAAGAAGAACCCTCATCCTGTGCACAAAGGAAGAGAGAAGACTTGGGACTGGAACTTCATGTGACTATAAATGTAGGTGAGTGAAAGGGGCATTTAGGTAGACTTTTCAAAATTTTTTTAGGCCATCAATTGCTTACCCGGAGAAGGTGCAACTAAGAGCTGAGTCCTGGCAGAGACGCTTCCCATAATGTGAAAGTATGGATGGCAGCCAGGGGTGGACTGACAACTCATGGGGCCCCCGGGCAACAGGGGATCATGGGGCCCGTGTCCTTGCCCACACTCAAAGCACACCCAAAAAAGCCTATGAAAAGGTACCAGGGGCATCTCATGGGTCCCCCTACTGACCCCGTGCCCTCGGGCAGTGCCCAAGTTCCCAAATGGTCAGTCCGCCCCTGATGGCAGCACACTTACACATTAGGATGTACTTACCTTGAATTAGCTCTGCTTAAGTGATGACAGCTAATCACCATTTTCCCAAAGCTTCTTCGTCTTCCTTGTTCAACTATACAACAACCAGCTATAACGGAATGCCAAAAAATAATAGTAAAAATGTGGCGCTATAACATATTTATGGTGGACAAATAATATCACAAACAACAGGAATTCAGTCTTGAGTATAATTCTTGAGGTGTGGCGTGACTGTAGTGACACAATAAGCAACAATTAGCTTTCGTGACTGTTGTGGCTGAAAAAATGAGCGTATTATGCACTAACCAGATAGCACAGATTATTGTGCGTTGGAGTATATAAGACCTACTCCTAGGTACTCCTAGGTACTCAGGGGGTAGGAACTCTGCATGCGGATGAGGTCATCAGGTGGGGGTGCATCACCAGGTGTCATCTATCCAGGGCAGGTTTCCTCTCTTCATCAATGTGTGAACATCTTAGGTTAGCTGCATCCAGCAGTACATTTTCCAGTCATCAGGGGAATCATACATTCAGGTGGGAATCCAGATAGGTACCTTCAAAGGAAGGGGACTCTCCGTGCCAAAAAAATGAGCCCAGAGGAAAAAGAACTCCAATAGTGTAGTATGTTTAATGATCAAAAAGGGGTAACATCAAGATTCAAATAAAAGAGGATCAACATTTACATCTGAGGTAAACAATAGGTCATGCAGTCAGTATTCCATGAGAAAGGGTACCTCCCTAACGCGTTTCGTGTAATAACACATTTTCAAAGGGAGCCATAACGGAATGACCACCCAGCGAAGGTTTGAAATGATGCAACTGCTGACCATGCATGATAGAGCTGCATTAAATCAGCACTTCGTTTCATCTCTTAGTATTATATAAATATTATACACCGCCTTGAGCATACACCCCAGGAAGAAAAACAAATACAAATCACTAATGCTGAACTTAGGCCGGCCATACATCGGGCAATTATTCTTAGGTACGATTTTTTAATGATAAATCGTTCAAAAATCGGACCTAAGAATAATCGGCCGAATTTCACTCTGTTAGTGGGGCAATGGCACCGGACGATTTTCGTGGTTCCTCCCCATTTCGTTTATCGGGCATGCTGTAAAATTCGTGAAAAACTACAGATTTTTTAAATCATTGGTGGTACCATTGGATTACAGAACTAACGATGTTTTCAATTTTTGATCAACAAATTGTTCGGAATTGGACCCATGTACAGCCTGCTTTACCCCTGCAGGAGCTGCTGGTGATGGTGGGTTCCCTGTACGGTCACAACTCCGTCAACTGCTAGTTCCCCACTCACACACCTAGTTGTGGCTTGAGACACACTCACAGCTGTGTGACTTACCCCCCCAGTCACATCAAAGCTGATTTTGAAATCGTGGGACTTACAGTGACATGCCGATTTCATTGCAATTTGCAAGACATCTGACACAGATGTCTATGCAAATCGCACCAAAAGTAGTGCAGGTGCTACTTTAGAAATTGGTGCGGCTCCGACCAAGTGGGAACCGCACCGATATAAACTGCTCTAATAGCGGACAATAGGGTGCGACTTGGCATACGATTTGCAAGTCTCAGGGCATGCAATTCACATGCCAAGTCGCACCCTAATGTCACTGGGGGCTTAAACGGTAGTATACCTGCATTTTTTAATCAGCATTGAGAAAATAAATCACTGACAAACAAAACGTAGATTAATTATATGTATTATGTCAAGGCAGTTAAACAGTGTAAATTGACAAAGAACAGAACACTTTTAAAGCTGCAAAAACTAGATATGGTGTACACTGGCCTATATTGGATGAATTAACTGAACTGTGGCAGTTTTAAATCATGTGTAACCAGTAGTAATCAAAATCAGTTAACAATAATAAAAATAATAATAGTGTTCATGAGTGCACTATTTACTGATAATCTTTAATGGGTGGATGCACTTGTGCCTAATAGGATGTATCCCAGAAGTTGACTAAAGTACAAGGCGCCTGATCATTCAGCGGCAGCAGGCTTTCAGTGGGGTCCTTCTTTCAGTGGTGCACTGTCCCTTTAAGAGCGTGGGTGATGACTGACAGATGAGCTGATAGGTAAGAGCAGTCTCTGCAGAGCTAACTATGAGTGGCAAGAGTTAAGGAGGTATAATTCAGCTCACCACTCCTGGCAGTTGGTAAACCTGGTCCCATGCATTTGGGTGTCAAGCTGTTCCAAAAGTCTCCGTCCTCACAAATGGGCCCTCTCTGGATCTCCTTTACTGTAGATTCTCTCAGCAAGGGGTCCAGGAACGGACTGATCATTTGGAAACTCGGGCACTGCCTGAGGGCCCGGGGTCAGTAGGGGGCCCCATGAGACGCCCCTGGTACCTTTTTCATAGGCTTTTTTGAGTTTGGGCAAGGACACAAGGGCCCCATGATCCCCTATTGCCTGGGGGCCCCATGAGTTGTCAGTCCGCCCCTGAAGGGGTCCCTCCAGCTTTTGTTTCCCTTGCAGCAGGATAAGTCTCAGTGTCTCCATCCTTTGGCCCCTGGCGTGCATGAAGACACCCTATTGAAGGGTCTACACTCCTCCAGGGCCCTGCACACAGGAAGCTTTCAGTAGCTCAGTCTCTTGCTTTGGTCCTCACATGGTGCAGTCACTCTCTCGCCCTCACTCTCTGGCTTAGCCTCTCTGACTCTGGCAGTCACCTGCTGGTGGTACTGTGGTTCCTAGAGCGGAAAGATTGTAGTTCTGATATCCACCAGTGGGTGTCTCCAAGCAGCCACCAGATCTTAGTAATCAGTCTACCTGATGTTGGCTGCTGGGAGGGTATTTAGGTTCTCCTCTGCTATTACATTCTGCATCAGTGTTTTGCTTTGCTGCCAGATACTGTTAGCAGTTTATCTTGTTCCTGCTCTTTATTGTGCTCTTTTCCTTGCATCTATACCTTGAACCCTACTACCTTGTTCTTACTCCCTCTTGTTCCGTATCCCAGTTTTACTTTCCCCTACCTATGCAGTATGTTCCCTGCACCCTCTGTTTTACCCTGCTTTTCTGTGTTCCCCATTTATATATATTGTATATAGTCAGTTGGCTAGTTAACCACTTGAGCTCCGGAAGGTTTTACCCCTTCATGACCAGGGAATTTTTTGCTATTGAGCCTGTGCTACTTTAACTGGCAATTGCGTGATCATGCAACAATATACCCAAATATATTATTTTTTACACAAATAGAGCTTTCTTTTGGTGGTATTTTATCACCACTCGATTTTTTATTATAGAAATGAAAAAAGACTGAAATTTATATTTTCTACTGTTAAAAAAATAAAAAAAATTGAAAAAATCTTCTTCATAAATTTAGGCCAAAATGTATTCTTCTACATGTCTTTGGTAAAAAAAAAAAAATCAATAAAGTGTATATTAATTGATTTGTATGAAAGTCATAGTGTCTACAAACTAAAAAAAAAAAAAAAAATATATATATTCACACACAGTGGCTAAATGGTTAGCACTTCCGCCTGGCAGTACTAGGGTCGCTGGTTCAAATCCCAGCCACGCTGCCTGGAGTTTGCATGTTCTCCGTGTGCCTGCGTGGAGTTTCCTCCGGATACTCCGGTTTCCTCCCACACTACAAAGAAATGCTGGTAGGTTCATTGGCTCCTGTCTAAATTGGCCCTAGTATGTGTATGTATGAATCTGAGTTAGGTACCTTAGATTGTATGCCCCTTAAGGGTTAGGGACCGATGTGAATGTACAATATATATGTAAAGTGCTGCGTAAATGCTATATAAGTACCTGAAATAAATAATATATAAAATTGATCAATTTGATTACTGACAGCATCATTTCTTGAGGCTCTTAAAGTGCCAGGGCAGTACAAATATCCCCCAAATTACCCCTTTTTGGAAAGTAGATAATCCAAGGTATTTAGTAAGAGGCATGGATAGTTTTTGAAGTTGTATGTAATTTTTTTGAAAAATTAAGGCATTAAAAACATTTTTTTTTTTTTACACTATCACAAGTGCAGTATCACCATATGACTGGTGTGGCTGTGATCAGGGACACTGGTGACAGTATGTTAATAAAAAGAAAACAAATGTTTATATATTTTTTTTTAATCAATTTTTTGAACAATTTTCATTTTTTTTTTAAATATTTTCTTTTTACTATTTTTGTAATATCCCATCAGGGTAGCTCAGTGTCAGCATTGTGGCACTGTACTGCTTAGGGGGAGGGTGATCAGGGTTTTTTTTTTCCTTATCACTGTTCATTGCTTATACAATAGATCACTGTATAAGCAATAGTTTTAGCTATCACAAAGGGGTCAACCATTCATGAACAGCTTGATTTTGGTTGTGCTCTGTGATCTACAGCTGACCACATGGTACAGGTAGCCAAATACCATGTGATTGCTGTGGGCCAATCACAGATCACAACAGTAAGCAAGCTGTTCATGAATGGAAAGCCATTCATGGCAGGTTGTTTACATTGTTATCATGTGATCGTTATGACCAATTATGTGAACATCAACTCCACTTTTTATTAGAGCATATTCAAACCCAAAACTAAAATTGTAGTGTATTGCAGCTTACCAGTCCTTAGATAACGGTGGAAGTTATTAGTTTTCTTTAATCTAGCCTTCTTTCCTTTATTTTCACCTGGTAATCCTGCAAATTAGGCACATCTGGTTCCTTCATGTCTATACTTTTTTCTTTTTTGTATCCATTGAGTTGGCCGTGGTTGTCACACAGGCTTGAGCTAAACAAGTCTTCCTCTAGTACATGGTGGATTGATAGGACTTTAACAATTTTAACTTACATGGTGGCATTTGAATACCATATCCAAAAACTAGCATCCTGAAAATATCATCCCACAGTGAATTACATAAACAAACTAGAAGAACGGGACTTTAAATATAACTTTCAGGAGACCAAACACAAATAGTAAATACACAAAAAGATAAAAACATCTAATTTTTATTATCCAAAGGTAAAAAATGGAGGTGAAAAACACCTCATATATGTAAAATGTATGCAAAAGATAGAAAACTAGTAGTTTACCCAATGGAGATAAGTATCTTCATGCTTTCTTTAACCACTTGCCCTCCAGCGGATTTACCCCCCATCCTGACCAAGCCATTTTTTGCAATACGGCACTGTGTTATTTTAACTGACAATTGCGCGGCCATGCAACGTTGCACCCAAATGAAATTTGCATCCTTTTTTTCCCACAAATTGAGCTTTCTTTCAGTGGTATTTGATCGCCTGTGAGTTATTTTTTGCGCTATAAACAAAAAAATACCAACAATTTTGAGAAAAATAAAACAATATTTTTGACTTTTTTGCTATCAAACATGTCCAGTTAAAAAATTTTAAAACTCAAATTTGTCATAAATTTAAGCCAAAATGTCTTCTGCTACATGCCTTTGCTAAACAAAAATCCCAATATGTGCAAATTATTCGGTTTACGTGAAAGTTATAGCGTTTATAAATGGCGGGATATATACTAGAATTTTTTCTTATTTTTTTACAAGTGATGGCGGTGAGAAGCAACTTATAGTGGGACTGCAGCGGGCATTCTGACACTGGGGAGAACTGACTTGGTGTCACTGGCATCCCCAGTGACACCAATACAGGGATCAGTGCTAATAAAAAGAACTGACAGTGTACTAATGGCACTGGGCAGGAAGGGGTTAACATCTGGGGCTATCAAAGTTTTAACTGTGTGCAGTTTCACTACTTGGGCTGTGTGTGTGCTTCACTGTAAGCACACTGCTTTGTATGGCTCTGCTCTGGTGATTGACAGCCGAGGCCATGAATAGCAGCACGGGTAGGACGAATGTGCGGCCCCTACCCGGAAATGCGAAATCATGTATATATACATGATTTTATGCACCCCTGCTGCCCTGTAGCAGTATTTCTGCTATAGGGCGGAGGAGAAGCAGTTAAGGCCTCATACACGCAGAACATTTTGCAAACTCTCCTAGAAGCCTTTCCTCCTGTCTGCAGCAATACCACCTGATGATTGTAAAATTGTTTAACTCTTTTAGGTGCGTTAGGTGTCAAGCACTGAAATTGAAATAAATGAACACTCAAGTGCTAAATGCGCCAAGTGTTAATGTGCATTTAGACGCGTTTAGGCGCATTTAAAAGCATCAAGTGTTTTTGCTGACAAAACTCTGCTGCTCCTGGATGCTCTGGCAGTGAGTTTCTTTCCTGCCTCTATACTCCATCCAAAAGTCTATGTATGCATGGACACATTGGGTTTGATTTTACTAAAACTGGAGAGAGCAAAATTTGGTGCAGCTCTGCATAGAAACCAATCAACGTCCATTTTTTTTTTTGCCAAGCGAGCTGCTGAGAGCCTGGGACAGCCAATCCCAACCCCTCCACAGGCTGGAGCTCCAATGAGCACTGGAGGGGCAGAGCAGAGAGCCAGTGACTGACAGTAGTTGTCACTGGTACCACAGGTCACAGTATGAGATTGCATAGTATGAATATTTATGTTTCCTCCAGACAGCCCAGTAGGATGTTCTATGGCCACTGGTGCATTCTGGGAGAGAATATATATATTTGGGGCAGGCCATGTGCATACTTACTCTTACCTCAGGCCGAGGCCTGAGGAGGTGCTGCTGGAGAGAGCTCCGTGTTAGGCCCAGAAGCTTGTCTGAGCCTACCTGCTTTGAAGTGAGGCTGTCCTGTCTGGCATGGAGGAAGCTGAGTCAAGGTGAGAAGATCCAGGGGAGGCCCTTTGCTTGAGAGAGCCAGGATGAAGGCTGGTCTCTCAGAAGGGCCTGGTGACTAACTGGAGGATGCACTAGACTCTGAAAATGTGCTTGCAGTGTCCCCAGGTTGGCTTAAAGGTTCTGACACTGTGAAGCTGGACTTTGTTCTGGATCCAAGGAGTCTGTAAGTGATCTGTGTGGCATCAGAAACCCTGGAACCCTCTCCTTCCACTTCCTTTCAAGTTCAATATTAAAGGCTTTGAAAAAGACCTTAAGTGACCCAATTTCTGTTCTGATCTCCCCTTTTTAGCCATGGAATTAGCCCTAGGGTAAATGCTAACTCACCTCCTGCCCTTTGAAGGTACTATCCTGTCTTCAGGGGAGTGAGGAGGGCGCTACACACACCTCTTCTATGTATGAAACCAAAGAAAGGTTTCCTGTTTACATCATTTAAAACCATTAGCTCAGGTTTTTTGCAGCATGGCTTATGGCCAGCTTTGTATATGTGAATGTGGTTCGAACCCCTCGTGTATTGTATTGTTATTGTACTGTCTCATGTATTGTCTCCCATTGTAATGTACAGCGCTGAGCGAACTGTTGGTGCTATATAAATACTATAATAATAATAATAATATGAAACATTTTATTTCAAGAACTATGGCTACCTGGCTTGGCAAAAAATTCATTATAATTGAAATAATCCTCACTGTGCGAGATACACTTTGTGCAATATATCGATTTCTGAGTAAGGCAGAGTATACCATAGGCTGCATTATGTATTCAGTGTTTTTAATAGAAGAATAATGGTAAGGTCAATATATTAAATAGCAGTCAGCTTGCCATCTCTGGAAGTTTATCAACGCTAATGGGCATTTCTGGTAGCCTGTCAAAGTAATTTAATAATTAAGACATATTACATATGAATAAAAAAAACAGTCTATTGTACTCACATAATGGGAAGCAAGACATTGACACAGCACAGCTATAAGCAGCTCCACAGAAGTGTGGCAGGAGATGTTTGACTTTGTGTTTCCTGTGATGTATACTGTGTCTCATTTCTAAAACTCCCTCAACTTAAAATGATTTCTTTGCCTTAATTCAGTAAACTACCCAGGTTCTCAATGTACACATCCCAGTACTTTACAAAGGTGGCATAATATGAAACTCTACACACATGAACACACACTGCCGTGATCTAGTAATGGTTCCGTATCTTGGTCCAGTGCTGTCCAAAGCTGAGTAAAATGAGCTCAGCTACAGTGGCTTGTAAAAGGCTTGCAATAACAATTATTAGTTATTTTTTACTACTATACACCAATGCTAGGATTAAAAAGAAAAACCACCATAGCTGCTGTATTCAAAATGCCATATAGGCATCCAGTACAAGCACAAATTATATACAGCGCTAGATGCATGAAAAGAAAATTCCCCAAAATATCCAGCTGGCCACCTCCCTATACCAGCTTTACTGCTACAGGGCAGCCGTTGTGTGCAGAATCATGTATATATACGCAATTCTGCACTTCTTGGTTAGGCATGTGCGCCGTTTCTGCTGTGATTTGTATTTGCAACAATTTTCTGGGTGAAGTGGTGCATTATCTGACAGAAATGCAGTAGTGCCCTTATTTTTGGCCATGACAAATTTCTTCATATGAAGAAATTTGATTTTTTTTAAACATTAGTATTGAGATATGAAATACATATAGAAGTTAGGTTTTTGAAGTAGATTTCTACCCAAAAAGTGAAGATTTACTGCTTTATCGGCATTTTCTGATAAGTTTCAATTTGGTTAAGCACAATAAATAATCTCTAGACAAACGTAAGCTGGCCATACAGGGACTGTGCTTGATTTGATCCAGCAATGGACAGGCTGGTTGTGCTAAAGTTGATCTATTGATTGACTTCAGTACAACCAGCCTGTCATATTTTTTACAGGCGATTAGCCACTAGCAGTAATCCATGTGTTCTTCTAGGCAGGAAGGCTCCCCGCTGGCAGAACAATAACACTGCATGAGGGATTCCCCCATCAACACTGAACTGGACAATTTTCAGCCCTTGTGTATGGAGCTTTACTTTGCCTAACAAGCTACTCTTTTCCATTTAAATTGCCTGTTCTTTTTATTTACACAAAGCTAATAAATCTTGTGCGACATCATCAGAGGGCCTACAGCACTTTTCAGAGATGGGTCTGAAGAAGGGCCCTGAGTAACTTATCTTGCCCACTCTTCTTCCCATGCATTTTAATGTCCAATCCTGTCAGTTACAATTCCTGGGGGTTGAGGTGTGTGTAGTCAGAGGGCCTGGACTGCTAGACTGGTGACCAGAGAAGGCCCTTAGACCATGCTAGAGAAATCTACTTCTACCAGCTTTTTCCTACCCGCACAAACCCCCATAAAAGGGGATCACTTAGGTACCCAAAACACACTGGTTGACTTTACGTTATAATGAAAAAAGTTGAACTGGACTCTTCACCAAATTTACTATGGTCATTCCAGTAATATCCTCCATAGAACCATCAGATCTTGGAAATAAGCCCCCTAAATAAGTAACAGATCGAAATACTTACCAAAACTGAGCGTTCCACCAATATATTTCCATTTAAGTGGTTAACCTTTTTTTGGCACAGTTTCAATGGTATTGTTTCTGTTTACCATCTTCTTCCCTTAAAACTGTTGACTAGAGATCCATTTAAGCAAAAGTAGAAAATGCATGACACATTTCTTTTTATTAGACTAGGAAATATAATTTATTGCATAAAAATTAATTTGTTACAATAGGAATGCTAAACATTATTTACAGTTTGTAGTTTACAGAATTAACAGACTGGTGTTTTGAAGGTTTTGGGTGTAAATGAATTAACAGGTGAGGCAGAGTCCACAACATTTGTCCAAATTCACTATTACACAGAAATGTCAATGAGACTGGAATAACCAGAAAGTGAAGCAAACAAGTCTCCACAGAGACAAAAAAAAAACAAATTTTGGTTCATTTTAAAAAGGCAAAAATTGCTATTTAGGTATGAAAGAATGCATGTCTGCTTATTGCATACCTTTAAGTAAAGCAGAAAGAGGACTTTTGAAATGCTCCATTTATGCTTTAATAATAAACTTGGTGCCAGTGCCAGTCACAACTCATCCACTGGCCCAAAGCAGACGTTGAAGATAGTCACACTGATTCCTCTAAAGTCACCATAAACACTGATAAAAGTAATAAAAGCAACAAGGATGCCATACCAGTATAAAACAACATAAGAGAAAAACAAAGTAGCCATAGAAAACTCAATATGTAACAAAACTATACACAAACCCTATGAAGGGTTTCTACTTTTATGCGATTAGCGTTGCTAAAATGTTTGCATGATAGCGGCATACATATGCAAGAAGCTAGAGCTAGCTTGGTATGGCAATAAGTTGCACACAGGCAAACTAACTTTGCTTTTTGAAGCTTACTGGCAACGATGATACATATTAAGCTTCAACAACCTCAGGAAAAGTGCACTGTATTACGTTGATTGGTACATATATGTGTACCCTACTAGATTACTTCCTGGAAAACCATAAAACAGTACAACTGGATATACTGTAGCCCCTGTATAAGTAAGCGGTCAGGTCACAAAAACAATAAAAAAAAAAGGGGGTGGACTGTTTAACAATTTTATTCATGACAGCTAGAGTGTATACCTCACTTAGGCTGGTCATACACTATACATTTTTCTGTCCAATTTCCTTTAGATTTACCTTAAAATATGTAGGTGCAAGGGCCTGCCTAATTGGATACAATTGAAAGCATGGTTTAGGTTTGACCTCATATTATATGGTTTTTGGTAAATCTAAAGCAATTTTCTATAGAAAATTGTATATTGTATGGCCAGCCTTATACTGTAGTAAAGTAACCATGCAATTGCATCTAATTAATCTGTAATGAGAACAATCTAATCTGTATGAAGATCATAGCACAACAGACATCTTTGCCTGTTTTTGTTTTTTTTCATGATTTTGATGATATGTGGCAGGATGTGTTGGCAAATGCAATCAGTGGTGAATGCTGTCTGAATGTATATAAATT